CGATTAAGCTTGGCACCTGTCGCGCGAGGAAAGGTCAACGACGCCTCGTCTGCGTCGTGACGTTCAAGAACCACTGAATGCTCGATATTACGCTTTAAACTTCGTCAAATTTCCCTTGAGAATGAAGCAAGGCGAAGAGACGCTTTGTGTTAAAGGTCACAACCTATACCCTACTCCTATCCATAAATCTAATCCATACTTGTAATTAATAGCGAGAAAACACTGTAGTTACATAGCCATGATTTAAAAATTACAGTTATTATATGATTGAAATCAATTCAATAAATATTGAGTACAAGAGGCAACTTGTCCACAGAAGACGTAATGGGTTTCACATTTGCGATCTACTTTTACGAGTCCAGTAGTCATGCAGGCGAATCAAATTGTTTTTGAGAACGTTATTTGGAACAGCAAAAAGTGTGACACGACAAGCGTCCGTGGCCGTAAATCGAGTCCGTCGTTTCCTCTCTGATCGCCATTATCATCCACGTGTCGAATCGCGATACTTTGGCCCAGTAAAGCGAACGACTTTGTCGACCCAAAAATTAGAGGGATGAAATCTTGAACGGGAAATAACGTGCACTTTCTTGCAGCGAAAGTTTTCCATTCGATTTCTATTTATTGCGACCTGGAGGAACTATTCCAAATGTGGATAAATTACATTGTTGCGGTTTTAAATCGGAACGAGTAAAAGTGGCAAGAATATAAATTAAATTCTGAAAAATAATGGAGAAAGCGTTTCGTCGCTGGATTCGCTAATGGATTCATCAGTAAGACTTCCTCATGCCTTAGTCGCCAGGATGATGTGGTCAGACATATTTATAGGAATGTGGAACAGAAGTGACCACTAGCAAGGAACTAGCAATCGGTAGTTCTTCTACGGTCTTTATTAGCGAATGTAGAAGAAGTCACCACAATATTATCTCAAAAGGAATTTATTATTTGAAATGATTTGATGATTCAGTACGTATAGAGATTCTTGAAACGAATTTAAACAGTTCGTAATTGCGATCTGTAATGCTCGATATAAATTCAAATCAACGCTATACTAGTTTGTATAACAATTTCCTGTATTTCCTAACTGGTCCATTAGTCGAACTGTGCAATACCGCTCATTCTTCTACAAATCCTGATTGACGTATGTTTCAAGCGGAAGCAAGCCCTCTGAGGCAATAGCATGACACAAATATTAATTTCCAGATCCTTTCTCCGTTTTGGACCTTGATGATCAAAATCATTCCCACAGGTAATGACGGCGAAACGGGGCCCGAAAGGCAGCATCTCTAACTTTCTCTGCCTGGTCGATCCCCAACGGTCGCACCTATTAATTTCGACAATCGAAAAGCGAAGCCTCGACCTGCACCCGTGCCGCCGCGGCACCTCAAGGAAAGTCCCTATTCGGGTGAAAGCAACGATGATGAGGCACACACGTGGAAACGTGAACAATCATCCACCGGACGTCTCTTTGCGAAAGCAAAATCCAAAGCCTCCGGCAAGGCGAAGCGAGGCGTCGCGTCGACACGATTCTTTCCTCGTGAAATGTTCCGCGAAACAAGCGCCACTTACGAAATGGTTGATTAGTCGATACACGTAACGTCATCGATGTTTCAATAGAGCGATTGACGTACAATGTACTGTTGCCAATGTTCGAATGGAAACCTTTGTTGGTATCGAAAATAAAACGTACAACTAGATACACGACTTCCGTTGAGCCAGGATTAGAATGTCGTAAAACCTCCATTACACGTGACTCACTTGCAAACTTCTTAAATTCGATGTAGACGTACAGAAAAAAATGAATTATTGATTTAAGTATGTATTGGCTATATAG